TAATGCATATGAAATAAATCGTAGAATGATTTTTGCTATGCGATTATTGGGTGTTGATCTTTATGGAATAGAAAAGTTTTGCGTTTTCATGGATCTTCCTCGACCGATTTTTCATTCATTTTACGATAGACTCACACAATTTCATTGAAACAGTTGCTAAAAAAAGCATGCTAATGGCAGCTCAAAAAGAAAAAGCTTTGTGTATAGAAAAAGGTCAAACAAATGGTTTAACAGTGTCAGGCGATGGATCGTGAAGAAAACGTGGCTTTTCATCACTGTTCGGATTGGTAACATTAATTGGATGGTTCTCTGGAAAAGTAATTGGCATTGTTGTGAAGTCTAAGTATTGCAAAGCTTGTGAGTTTTAGAGAAAAAAGTTGACACTGAAGAATACGAAGAGTGGAAAACATCACATGCTAACGAATGTCAAGCGAATCATGAGGGATCGGCCGACAAAATGGAAGTCGACGCAGTCATTGAAATATTCCAACGCTCAGAACAATTGCATCAAGTAAAATATGCAAATTACATTGGAGATGGAGATTCCAAAATTTTAAGGGTCTTTTGAAATCACAACAAGCAGAAAATTCATCAGTGAAGAAAAAGGAATGTATTGGTCACGTCCAAAAACGAATGGGTACCCGCCTTCGCAACTTGAAGAAAGCCATGAAAGGACTTGGAGAAAAAGGCAAATTGATTGCTAAACTTATAGATGAATTGTCTGTTTTTTTCGAATTAGCTATCCGTTGTAGTCATGATTCAATTGAAAATATGAGGCGAGAGATCTGGGCGACCCTTTATCATAAGTTATCCACAGACGAAAAGCCACAGCACGATAAATGCCCGCCCGGTAAAAATTCGTGGTGCAAGTGGCAGCAGGCGAAAGCCACTAATAAATTAGCTGAATTTAAGCATAAGCCAGCTCTACCTCAAATGGTTTTTGATGCTATTAAGCCAATCTATGAAAAATTAAACAGTGACGATCTTCTTAAACGTTGTTTAGGTGGCTACACCCAAAATAGTAATGAAAGTTACAACGCTTTGATTTGGTCAATGGCTCCAAAATTAGTTTCCAGCGGCAAAGTTATTACAGCAAGTAATATTGCTGTTTGCACGTATAATGAAGGATATTTAAACCTTATGAAGATTATGAAAGAATTAAGCATGACAATTGGACCGAACTGCTACAATTACTGCCTTGAGACTGACGCGCGGCGCACCAAGTATTCGGAGCGCTCGCTGACAGATGCTGCAAAAGAGGCTCGATCATCGCTAAAATCAGCCAAGAAGGATCAGGAGGAGGAGAACATCAATGAGGAAGGCCAATTGTATGGTGCAGGTATCGCAGATTAAAGATAAATGAAAAATTTCTATCGCTAATTGTTACATAAAACTTTAAACGTGTTTTTCTCAAAATCACTTTTTTCAAGCTGGCCGGACTCATAACTCCCACAAATCTTGACCGATTTACTTGAAATTTTGACTGTAGCTTCTAAAATACATTTATCAACGAACAACGTACGGATTTTACGTTTCGTTATAAACTTTTTTTTTATAAACAATTTTCTGCAAAGTTTTTCGTCAAAAAATGAAATTTTTTTCAAATTTGTCATTTTTACAAAAAAAAATAATTTTTTAATTTCCGTACGTAGTTCGCTAGTTAATGACATAAAGAATTAAAAAAAAATTGGTTTTTTGTTCTAGAGCAAAAATTGGAGCAGATTTCGATCCGGCTGTGAGGCACCTTCCGAAACGAGTGGTCATCGTTGCCGAAATCTGTCACCGCCATTTTGTAATAAAAAAATGCAAAAAAATTTTTTGTATATTTCAAAGTATGTAGGATAAAGTATTTAAAAAGGACTTTTCTTTACTGTTTCCGTTTTCCCGTAAAAAATGATTAAAAATAGGTCTTTTTTGGGAGCTTACAGTGACCTTACCCCTTAAGTAAGAAACATTGTGTGTTACCAAGAAATTTTAGATTATATTTACTGAAATATATTTCATAGTATTACAATAATTTATAAATATTTTGACGATAATCTGTTTTTAAAATTTTTATTGATATATGTACTTATTGATAAGTAAATAAGTGCAACATATGAACCAAAGAGTATGAAACGTTATCTAAAATGTTACATTGTTTGCTGGATGATAAGTTATCTGCATGAGGTTCAAATATATTATGTTAAATTATTTATGGAATAAGAATGTTATATAGCAATTTTATAGTAAAAAGATTAGTTTCATCTTCGTGATTATATTACTTATCCTATTCATTGTGTATTTTCATTTAAAAATGTTTTTCTATTTTTACAGAACAGAATAATGGAAATATTTGTGTTGTGGAACATTTTTGACAACGAGGACGACGATAATTGGTCAATACATGTTAGAGAACACCATTTTCGAATCACCAATTTCATGGAAATTGTTTTTTCTTTTTATTCATTAACAGGTACTTTTAAAATTTTTTCATATGTCAAAGTTTATATGTTGTTTATAAATTTACATTTTTATATATTATGTAAATTTCATTAATGCCAACCTATCTATCGTAAAATGTTTAAATCAGATATAAAACATTCTTTTCTAATGTTAAAGTCTTCTAGTCCCTTCTGTCGTCAATGTTTGTTTGTTGACGTTATAAGTGTGAAATCGCACGTCACAATGTCTTGTGCTGTAATTGAAATAAGATATATCTATGAAACATACTTGTAATTTATTTTACAAAATTATAAGATGTTCCATGTTCTCTTTTTGTTATGACAATCTCCAAATAAGCTTAAAATTAGTGTATTATGTAACTTAGCTTTTAATTTTTTTTTAATCGTGATTCCTGTTACATTTTACAGTTTTACGGGTAATTATTCATTCTCATCGTTATAAAAAATATTAAATTATTGAACGATTTAATGTTTATTCGTTACATTTTATTAATATAGTGCAATTTTGTAAAAATTCGCAATATTTCCATATTCTTTCTTGTTTAGATTTTAAGTTACATTTTCGGATGCAAAGAAATACGTTTGAAATGTTAATACAAATTCTTGGGCCAGCTTTATTAGAAAGAGAAAATTCTCCACAATTGCCACCAAGTAAGCAGATTGCTATAGTTCTATGGATTTTGAGTAATCAAGAGGTTTACAGGTTTGTAATACAAACATATATCCAAGAATATCCTCAGGAGATATTCAAATTGTCCAGAATGGGTATTGAGGACATTTTGGAAACCTCCCATTTTAATAGGAAATAAAATATTAATAAATATTAATAAATATTAATAAATATTAATAAATATTAATAAATATTAATAAATATTAATAAATATTAATAGTTAATTATATATATATAATATTTTAATAGTTTTAACTTACGAGTTTCTTTTTTGGGAGTCGCCAATATTAGTTTAATTTTTTATTTACGTTGTCCTCATTTATAAAAAATTTTGCATTAATTGTAAATAATATTCTTATTTATACAGGATATATAATAAAATAAATAAGCGACTATTATAATTATCAACTTCTTATCTTGAATATATTTTATGGTTCATTTACAATATTTTCTTATTTTAGGTCCGTTGCAGATCGGTTTAGTGTAGCTAAAGACACAATATGGAGATGTGTTTTCAACGTGTGTTACGTTCTGGACGTAACACAGCACGTTCATAATTATATTAAATGGCCAGAAGTGCCACAGTTATTACATATATAAGAGGAATTTGTAGCTATAAGCGATTTTCCTGGTGTAGTAGGTGCTATAGATGGTTGTCATATCGCTATTAGTGCCCGAATCGAAAATTATAACAGTTACATTAATAGAAAGGAATTTTATTCTGTTTTGTTACAAGGTATATGCGATCACAGAATGAAATTCATAGATATTTATGCAGGAATGTGCGGTAGTGTATGCCCGGGTATGGCACTTAAGCGATATTAAATATATGATAGATAATAATGTACAGAGATATTTTTCACGCAATAGTCATCTTTTAACTAATTCCGCGTGTCCGTTATCATGTTATATGTTAACCCCGTACCGCGACAATGGTCATTAAAATCATACTCAACTTAATTACAATACAAAGTTATCAAAAACACGCGTTATAATAGAAAGAGCATTCGATTTATTAGGTTAAAAGGGCGATTCCGTAAATTAAGACACGTTTATGTGTATAATACTGAAATGATTCCATTGATTGCATGTTATGTGTTACATAACATTTGCATTAACAATAAAGATGAAACGGTAGAAATTGTAAAATCAATGGAAAATGATGATTATAATTATAATGGCATTATAGAAGCAAATGGAAAAAGAAATACTATCGCACAGTTATTATAAAATTAATTATACTTAAACAAATAAATGTTTCTTTAAGAGAAAGATGACAAGATCTATTTATTCTCTAATATATATATTTCTATATTATGAATAATAACTATTGTTATTAACGATACTTTGTAAAATAAATTATTATTGCTTACGGTCCATGGTCCCGTCCATTATCTTTCCTTGTTTGATAACGTTAGAAACAAAAAATCGCATATCATGTCCTAAATGACCCATTTCTGCATTCAAAATATATGTTAACCCTTTGGGGACGGAGCCGCTCGACGGGCTATAAGGAAGATAAGACTTCATCGCTAATGGCCCCTAATGTCTTTGAATGAAAACGTGACTCTTTTATTATACCTATGCGTATCTTATCGCTCAGAACGACAGACGTCGCGAGCCTTGCAGCTACGAACTAATTTGGGCGGCTATATGCCGACACGCGTCCGGAACGGTAAAACGGCTTGGGCGGCTATATGCCGACACTCGTCCCCAAAGGGTTAAATAAATATAAGATATGAAAAGAAATAAGAAAAAATGTTTGCATAGTATAAAATATGTATTATAATGTATTATAAAATTATAATACATTAATAAAATATAATATATTAATAACATAAAATTACAATACAATATAAAATATGTATTATATGTATTATAAAATATATTTTATAATGCATAATATACACAAATATATATATATATTTATGTATGAAAAGTATATTTTTTTTATATGTTACGAAAAGTATTCATTATCTTTATGACGTAGTGCAATAATTTACTTATTACATTTTATCTATACTTTTGCATCTCATATGCACGTGTGTTCTCTTTTTTAATAAGTATAAATAAAACTAAAACGTATATACATATATATATATATATATATATATATATATATATATATATATATATATAT